GAGGACTGGGGGTGAGGGAGGAAGGGAGGCAATTATGTAACATGAATGATTAAAAAAAAAGTGAACTGGGGAGTAGGAAGGGAGGGAGGGGGGTAAAATGTGTAACAATGAATGAATGAAAATCTTACTTTTCTGTAAACTTTTGTTAAAATCATAATTAAAATAAAAACTTTTTCTTAAAATTTATATGCTGAGCCAATCATTTGAGAAGCTGGTCTCTATGAAAAAGAATGTGGCATCAGAATCAGAGGAAGACTCATTATACAGATGATACAACATTACTTGCTGAAGTGTGGAGGACTTGAAGCACTTGCTGCACAAAGTCAAGAAACATTGCAGCCTTCACAATGGGTTGTATCATATAATTAACAAAAATTCTCACCACTGAACCTATAGATACCATCATGCTAGATAGAGAAAAGACTGAAATTGTTGGCGACTTCATCTTACTAGGATCCACAATCAACCCTTGGTACCAGCAGTCAGGAGATTGGAAGACGTATCATACTGGGAAAGTCTGCAGGTAGGACCTCTCCAAATTACTGAAGAGCAATAACGTGTGAGGACAAAGGTGCACTTGATCCAGGACATGGCGTTTCCAATCACTTGCTGTGCATCCGAGAGCTGGACACTGAATAAGAATGACGGAAGAATTGATGTCTTTTGAGCTGTGGTGTTGGAGAAGAGTACTGAATGGCCAAGAGAACAAACAGGTCTGTCTTGGTGAGAAGGTGCAGCCAGAGCGCTCCTTGGAGGCAAAGATGATAAAGCTTCGCCTCACATACTTTGGGCACGTTGCTAGGAGAGGCTATTCCTTGGACCTCATTAATGCTTGGAAAGGTAGAGGGTCGGGGAGAGGGAGACCCTTCCCCCACCAGATGGACTGATGCTGTGACTGCTGCAGTGGGCTCCGTTATCTGAGTCTGTGAGGATGGCTGAGAATAGGACAGGGCTCAGTATCCGTTGTTCAAGGGTCTCTATGAGTCATACTCAAATTGATGGCATCTAATAACAGCAACAACTCTGGTTTTAGCAACACTGTCACCGTCACCACTGAAATAAGATCACAACTTCCCTGCAGAACCCACCACAGACATACAGGTCAAGATGCGGGAGGGGAGGGTCTGGCTCTGTAAGGGCCCGGCCTTTCTTCCTGTCTGAGATGGAATGCTGTCGCTTCTCTCTGGGGCAGGAGCTGGAGGACAGGAATAGCTTGTCAGGATCCTGGCTTTTGTTTTCAGAAATCTCAGTCACAGAGGAAAGATCTGGGGGTCAGCACAGAGTAAGCTGACCCCCAAAGTGAAGTGAAAAAGAGGAAATAAGCACAGGGCCCAAACAAGTGATAAGAGAAACCCAGGACGGTGCTTCTCCCCACACCACAGCACAGACTATGATGGGGAGACCCTGAAAATCCCCGCAGGAGCTCAGGGCCATTTATAGAACATGTAAGAAAAGTCATATTCCTACCACGACCAGGTTTAGGGGAGAGACAGAGATGCTGACTCTCCATGATCAGAGCTCCAAGATTGTGCACGTGATGACCATGTCAGCTGCTAAACGAAAGGCTGGAGGTTCAAGCCCACCCAGGGGTGCCTTGGAAGAAAAGACTGGCAACTTCCAGAAGCTCTGCCATGGAGACCCCTATGGAGCCCAGTTCTCCTGTGACGCACATGAGGTCACCAGGGCCACTCTGACTGTGAGTTGTTAAGACCAGAGACAAGGGGGGCTGCCTGGCTCCTGAGGGAGCTGCACAGGATGCTGGAAACCCTAGGGCTGTTGGAAGAAGCCCAAGGGCCTCTGGGTAAGGGGAACTCGTCAGTTTAAAAGGGAAGAAAAGGCTGTGAGCTTCAAAGTTCAGATTTTAACCGTCTAGGATTCTCAGCATTTTCAACATCTTATGCTGAAGGTTGAGGGAGGGACCAGGAATGTGGATGAGTGCAGGAGTATAAGATGGCATGGTTCTGGAATTTTCAGTGGTTCTTGGGCTGGATGGCTCACTGTTCTGAAAGGTGAACACAGGAAGTGCCAAGTTTGGGGGGATGGGTCCTCCCTGGGGACCTTAGGGGACAATGAAGTCCTGCCTGAAAGGGAGCAGCAGGTGGTGTCCATCATCCATCGCTGGGGATCTGAGGGGGGGGGAGCCACACCCTATGTGTCTGAGAGTCTGAGGGAAGAGACAGAACTCTGCCCTGGGGATCTGAGTGCCTGTCCCCCACATTCCCTCTGCCCAGTGGGGAAGGCTGGGGGATCTGAGGCCCCAGCATCGACCTTTCTTCCTATGGAAGAAATCACGGCTGGTTCTCATCCAATATCCCCTCCCCATCACCCCTGTTTCAGCCCCAACCCCAGGGGAAGGTCCCCAGTACCCCCCGTCACTCTCTGGGCAGATGAAACGAGTGTGAGAGAACATGGATGCTAATCAAGGATGTTTGGGGACACACGCCAGGGACTTGAGAGGCTAAGAGGGGTTCCACACAACCGCTCCTGTGACTCCATGATCATAGGGTTGCTGTGAGTTGTGGTCAGCTCAATGGCACCTAACAACAACAACTAGAAGGATAATTCTGAATTAGGGTGACGGCCAAGGGAGTGTGGCACTTCCCCGGCTTTCCTCTTTTGTTCCAGGAAAGAAAGACTTCTCCATCGGGCCAACATTTTCTGGTCTGTGAAAGGGTTTATGAAAATGCTCCTTGGCGAGTTCTGGTGGCCTAGTGGCAAGAAGCTGCACTGTAATCCCGGAGGTGTGTGGTTCAAATCCCCCAGATGCTCTGCTGGAGAAGGAGGAACAATCTCCTCCTGTACCAGTCAGATCTGATTTGATGGTACACACACACAAATAATTTAAAAAAAATCCTCCTTACCCCTTGGGAGTCAGGACTAACTCAGCGGCACCCAACAACAGCGCAGTTATTATGGAGCCTCTGTGTGGTGCTGACGGAGAGCGTGCTCAGCTCTGAACAGAAAGGCTGACAGTTCAAGTCCACACAGAAGTGTTTTGGAAGAAAGGCCTGGTGATCTACATCTGAAAAATCAAACTGAAAATCCTATGCACACAGTTCTTCTTTGACACACACAGACAGGGTCGCCACACATCAGAACGGACTTGAGGACAGAATATTGGTTACAGTTACCATGACTTAGAATACCCTGTTGCATTGGGAGCATTTACAGTCAAAGACCTCTTGCAAAAGGGTGTCCATTTAAAGACTAAGGTATGCCTGATCCAAGCTATAGTATTTTCAATTATTTCCTAAGTGCCTGAAAGACAGACTCTGCATAAGGAAGATCAGAGAAGACTTGATGCCTTTGAATTACAGCGTTAAAGAAGAGTACCGAATATACTACAGAATTCCTAAACAACAAACACATCAATCTTGGGTGAAGTGCTGGCAGGCTGCTCCTCAGAGGCAAAGATGGTGAAACTTTGTCTTGTATACTTCGGCATGACGACGGGGGTGGGGTTAGTCATTGGAAAAAGACCTCATGGTGGAGGGTCAGGGAAGGAGAGGAAGACCCTCAATGAGGTGGACAGACACAGTGACTGTGGCCGTGGCTTTGAGCAGGCCGCAGACTGTGAGGACGGTGCAGAAAAAGGCAAGGGTTTGATCTGTTGTTCAGAGGGTTGCTCTGAGTTCTGGTCAACCCAATGGCACCTCATGACAGCAACAGGAGGAATCGATGCTTTTGAAGTGGGGTGATGGCAAAGAAAATCTAACATCTCACGGACCACCTACCTAAAGAACAAATGAGCCTGTCTAGGAGCGCTGCCTGAGCGTTCCTTAGAAGCAAGAACGGGGAGACTTTGTCTCATATGCTTTGGATGTGTTACTGGGAAGGGCCAGTCCTCGGAGAAGGCCATCATGCTTGGAAAACTAAAGTGTCAGTGCAGGAGACCAAGCCCCTCAATGAGATGGATTCTCACAGTGACTGCAGCAGTGAGTACAAGCACAGCAGAGCTTGGAAGGACGGCACGCAGCAGGCAAGGCTTCGTTGGCTCTGCTGTACATGGGGCCTCAACTGGCCAGAGCCAACTCCATGGCATTTAACAAGAACCAGATGCTGTTAACATCTATCCGAATGAAGACAGGACTGACGATACACTTCCAGGAGGTCTTGGACAATCTACAAAGCCACCCTATGCACACAGGGGTGGCCGGAGCTGGAATGGACACCATAACTAGCAACAGTCACTACCTGCTTCGAGTGTACCCACTGAATTCTGGGCTCTTTACACGTGTTAAGTCAAGGGGCTATTATTGCTGCTGGTTCACCTGCAGGTAAACGTGGATTTCAGAGCAACAACGAATCCCTTTTTTTAAGACAAACCAAATTTACAGATCCTGGCTCATATCAACCTTCCATCTGGGTACTAGGCTGTATATTTTTATAGGAGGAGGCTGACTGCTCGTCATTCTCCCCTAGAGCGAGCAGCTGGTGGATTTGAACAGCGCAATTCTTGACATTAGGACACAGGGGCATAAAATGGAACCTACGCAGCCCTAAACAAACAAACAAAACAAAACCAAAAAACCCTTTTGGAATTACAACTGACAGTGCAATGCAAAAATTGTTGCGTAGTACACTGAATTGGCTCTGTAAATTTTCACCCCAAGTACAATTAAAAATAAAAATAGATACACAAATAAAAGGGAGCTCTGGTGGCTTAGTGGTAAGGCATTGTGCTGCCAACTCAAGGCTACAAGGTTCGAATCCACCACCTGCTCCACTGGAGAGACATGCGCAATCTCCTCCGTATTTACCGCCTCTAAAAACCCATTGGAGGGTCAGCTATGGGTAGGTTTTGGCCCCATGGTACTGAACAACAGATAAGTAAGGTATATTGAGTTAAAGAAGTTTTGGGGGAAAAAATCCACAAATGTCCCCTCTTTTGGGCTTGCCCCCCCCCTTGCTTGCAGGTGAAGCTGAGGTGTGCAGTGCGCATGGAGCTGCGCTTTGAGGAGGCTCGGGAGGCCGGGATCCCCGGGCGCAGCCCTGCTTACCCGCTCGGCCTGGCACTGGCGGAAGCTGGCGTTGATACGGTTCAGCTCCCCACGCGCGCTCAGCAGCGACTGCATGATGGAGTCCCTGACCTTGGCGGTGAGGTTGAGCTCCTTGGTCAGGTTGGTCTTGGTGGCCGAGAGCCCCATGACCTGGCCGTAGAGGCTGTCAGCGCGGCGCTCGGTGGCCTGCAGGTTGGACTCGGTGCCGCTGTGCACGTTGCCGTACACCATGAAGAGCACCAGGCCCAGGATGATGAGGAACTGGATGAGCGAGACGAAGAGGAAGAAGTAGCGCAGGTAGTACCAGCAGCTGTGCTCGTTCCCCACCGACTTGTGCAGCGGCCGCGTGTACGGGCTCCCGCGCTCCATGGCCAGCACCATGTGTGCCCCTCGGCTGACTGGGCTCCTCTGGGCAAGGCGGCGGCTCCTGCTGGACACTGGTCACTGGGGGAGTGTTTATATTACTCCTTTTAATACTTCCTCTGCCTGGCTCCTTCCTGGCCAGGAGGAAACGGGGGCTGCGGGTTATCACAACACTCCCACCCGGCCTGGCAAGGGGGGCAGGCGTAGCTGGAGAGGAGGGGCCTGCCTCCTCGGGCCTCAGTTTCTCCTCCTGCCCCTGCTCTATGACACTGTTCTCAGGAAAACGTGTGTCCGATCCCACAGGCCCAGCCTTGTTGGAGGGAGCTCTGGTGGCCTCGTGGCAAAAAGCTGCCCTGCAATAACGAAGGTAAGAGGTTCAAATCCACCAGCTGTTCTGTGGGAGAAGGGTGGGCAATCTCCTCCAGTGCAATTAACTGCCTCTGAAAACCCACCCGAGGGTCAGCTCTGCGTCGGTTCCAACTCCACGGTACACAATAAGAATGACCTTGTTGGAGTCCAAGAGTTCACTGCTCGCCATAAATAGTTCAGACTCTGGCTGCTAAAGGAAAGGTTGGAGGTTCAAGTCCACCCAAAATTACCTCAGAAGAAAGGTCTGGTGATCTGTTGCTGGAAAGTCAGCTACTGGAAACCAGGAGAAGCGCAGTTCTAATCTGACACAGGAGGGTTGGCCAGGATTTGGAGGTTGAATTGATGACAGCTGGTCCAGGCTTGTTACTGTTTATCTTGTGAACAGGAAGGAGAAACCACTAACCTTGGTTCTCACGGGTCACAGATCTGGATTTAATCCCTGCAGGTTGGTTGACTGTGTAGCTATTTCACAACAAGGTTAAAGGAGATAAAATTTAGGGCAAGGCTCTGCCCAGAGCTGGGGGTACACAGTGGGTGCTCTGCAATCGCACTGGGGGACTCCTGCTGAGAGCTTGGACATGAAGGGAGGGCTGGGTTCCTCAGACTCTGTCACCTGCTCAGTGTCCGTGCTTGCTAAGTGCTTCGGGAGGGGACTTGGAGCTCAGCCTGAATGTGAACAAGCTTCCCCACTCTATGCCTCAGTTTCCCTGCTGCAAGATACAGGGCTGTGGTGAAGCTCAAGAGAAAGAATTGGCTGCAACCATTAGTCTTTGCTGTCATTATTTCTATCATTACCACTGAGAGGCCTGAGTGGGGGGCTCGGTGAGATTAGAAGAAGTGACGCTGGTTGGGGGCCTCACTTCCTGAATCTCCACTGTGGAATTTCCCAGTGATACTATGTGGTGCCCCTACAGGTTTGAAGGGGATTTCAGAACATAAGGAGCAAAGGACTCAGGGTGTGTCCCCTACCTCCAGCCCTAGAGCCTCCGTGGGGTTTTCTGCTCTGTGCTGAGTGACACCATGACCCTCTAAAACCCATCATGCCAGATTTAACGCTTAATGACTCCAGTATTTGGAGACACAGGCCTGATATAGACACTCCTAGTCCTGGGGCTCAGGGCTGGGCTAGGAACAACATATAGGATTGGGGAGGGGTTTGGACCCTGGATGACTTGATGCAATTTTTGGACCCTGAATGACAATAATGCAATCACTGTGGGAGACCCAATAGGGTGAAGGCCAGGGCATGGGGCTCCCCCTCCATTAGCTTGAGTGGTGCAGTGGAGGCCTAGCTGAGAGTTGAGAGGTCCCCCAGTGGTGCTCCAAAAAGCGGAGGCTGGAGGAGGGTCATTGAGTTGGAAAGGAGGAAGTTCCCAGGGGGAGACAGGAAACCACTATGGCACCTTTGACCTCCGTAGCTGCCCAGGGTGATTTCTGATTCCTGATTCCAGACCCTTGACGGCTCAAGGGAGGAGGGGGAGGAGGGTCTGAGGGGGTTGTAGCTGCTGCCCAACCAACTGTTGATCCTGGTTGGCCAGGCCCACCCAGAGCCCCCAGAGCAGGGTGGGTACGGGGAAGATCTGCAGATGGGGAGCTGAAGACAGCTGGTGTGAAGCTCCACTGTGCTCCCCACCCACCACCTGGTGACCTTGGGCAGGGTTTAGGGATCTTGCCTAAAATAGAGGCAGTGTGGCTGCTTGTGAAGCTCTTCATGGTGCCCAGCCGTAATAAATGGAGGGTTTGTAATTTATTACCAGGGGAGAGGCCCAGCCTGGAAGTACCAGTTAAAGGGGGGGGCATGACAGAGAGCCAGAGAGCCGTGGTGGCTGGAGTCCATCAGAGGAACTTGGGCAGGGCTCTGCCTGGGCAAACTCTGGAGGTGTACTAGTCTTGAGATGTTCTTAAGATCCTGTCCATTTGTTATTAGTTGAAATGCATCACTCTAAAATTCTTGTTGAAGTCTAAGTTAACATAAACTTCTATGTTGAAATCCTAACCTGGAGACCTGTGGCTGTGAGCTTATTGGGAAAGAGGGTCTTTGAAGGTGTCGTCAGTCAGACTAACATGAGGCTGTGCTGGAGTTGTTAGATTATATCGAGTTGACCACAATTCATAGCTACCCTATGAACAGCAGCTCTGAACCTGGACCTACCTCGCCTCCTTACTGTCTGGCATACCTGCCCACTGTGACAGTCACTGTGCAGTATTCCATATACCTACTGCTAGTGAGTAACTTCTGACTCCTACTGACCCTGCATTAGAGTTTTGAGGGAAATCTTTAGGGGTGGAAGCTGACTATATTCCTCTCCAAGAGCAGCGGGTGGATTGGAACAGCTGACCTTTTGGTTAGTAGCACAATATGTAATGCACTATTGGAGTAATGTAATGTAATGCTATTGGAGTAAGGCAGGTCCTAAGCCAATAAATAGGCTGTTGGTGGTGCAGTTCGATTGAATTGTTTAGTGACAGAATATAACTGGCACATAGAGTTTTCTTTACAGAAGCAAATTTTCAAGAAGCTCTCTTCTTGAGCTTCTGAGCAGGTTCAAATAACTGGCCTTTCTGACAGCAACCAGCTGAGTGTTAAACTGAGCATTTAACTATCACCACCACCACGGCTCCCAAACCAACATGAATACTTTCCTTAGAAAAGAAAAGAAGACATATACAGAGAGAGAGAGACGGAGAATGTGTGATCATGTTAAGATGGAGGCAGACATTGTGGTAATCCACAACTACTGTGTTGTTGTTACGTGCCATCTAGTCACCTGAGATTCAGCTATGTACAGCAGCTCTGAAACCTGCATTGTTCTGAGCCAGTCTCACTGACTCTGACACACCTACCCCCATTACTCCAGTTACTGTGTCAATCCATCTCATTCAGGGTCTTCCTCTCCTGTGTTATCACTCCACCCTTCTGAGCACAATGTCCTTCTCCAAGGACTGCTCCCTTTTAGCCACGTGCCCAAAATATATGAGCTGGAACTTCAAAATCCTTGCCTCCTAGGAGAAACTTGGTTTCATCCTCTCTAGGACAGACCTGTTTGTTTTCTGGGTGATCCATGGCATGTTCAATACTTTTCTCTAGCCCCATAATTCAAAGGCATCATTTCTTCTTTTTCTGTCATCTTTAATCATTGTGTAGATCTCTGATGCATTGCAAATAATTGTGAAGACCATGGCCTCGATCAGGTGTACCTTAGGCTTTAGACTGACATTGTTACTCTTCAGTACTCTGGAGAGATCTCTGACAGCAGATTTTTCCCAGTGCAATTCGTCTTTTGATTTCCTGACTGCTAGTGCCAAGAAGAGATTGAGATTGTTCACAGCTTCAGTTTGCTCGGCTCCACAGTCAACACTCTTGGCACCAGCAGCCAGG